AACACACACAGTACAAAGGACTGGACAGGTGTCGAGTCGACCTGAACAGTCATAAATGCGACTCACCTCGGTTGTCTGAGTCAGGAGACGGATCCGCCAGCATTCGGCGAACTGTCCAAACCCACTCGAGTGCCAGGAACGTGCTTTCCTACCTCTCTTGGCCTGAAGAGAGAAGACACGGTACTCCAGGCCCGCCGGATAGCGGCCTACAGTACAAGTGAGCAGATATGTGTCAAAACAGCCTGCGCCTTCATAAATGCGGCTCACATCAGTTGTCCAAGCGAGGGGACGAGAGCCGCCGTCGCTCGGTGTTTGGTCAGATCCACGCAAGCATCTGACAGCCATTGTCACGCATACGAGGAGGGGCTTTCCAAGCATCTGACAGCCATTGTCACGCATACGAGGAGGGGCTTTCCCACTCTTACGTAACGTGATGCAGAACGCAGCTCTTCGAATGACCGCTGGCGGTACGAGTGGACAACAGGACATCTCCTAACAATGTATGGTCACATCCCATAATTCAAGGAGTAGTCAAGCTGTCCTTCTTCCATTTAAAAAGCCTCTTCCAGCAAGCTTTAAGGAGAGGTCGAAAAACTCAGAGAAAAAGGGTAGAGACCAAGCTGTTCGCATAATCCTTGCATTACAGCACCACTGCCTGGTTCTGAGCTCCGATCGCCGACGAACTAAGCAGACCCGAACTCCATCGACTCGAGCTTCTACTGTGTACTGAAGCTCTCCAGCAACTTCGATCGAACAGTCCAAGGGAAGCAGACTCGACCCAAGCATCGAGCGAAGCGTCCTATAGCCACCTAAAGACCCCACACAAAACAAAGAGGGCATTCCCTCTGCTTCTGTTGTAAATATTTGATCATTAGTTTGTAATAAGTTTTCTTATTAATACAAACGAAACTCCCTATTTTCGGGAAATCAAATTTACACCCTACAGTTATGCTGATCAAAGAAGAATGGAATTGGAATTTCAAGTAGGTGATCATGTTTTCTTAAAGGTTTCGCCTACCCGAGGAGTAAAAAAATTTGGAATCCAAGGAAAGTTAAGCCCAAGATTTGTCGGTCTTTTTGAAATTCTGGAACGCATTGGTCCAGTGGCATACAGATTAGCCTTACCACCATACCTATCTGGAGTACACGATGTATTTCATATATCCATGCTTCGGAAGTTCATCCGAGATTCAAATGAGATCGTTGAGTTGTCTCTAGTAGAGCTCAAGCCAGATTTGACCTATGAGGAAAGACGAGAACGTATTGTGGATTATAAAGAACAAGTACTCCGACACCGAATAATCGAATATGTGAAAGTTCAGTGGAAGAATCACTCTGAAAGAGAAGCTACTTGGGAGACTGAAGATTCTATGCGAGAGAGATATCCACAGATATTCGAGATATAGGTATGTTAAGTTTCGAGGACGAAACTTTTTATTAGGACGAAACTTTTTACCTCAGCTTGAGCTGGCTCATTTAGAGCCTCTTGGAGAATCCCATTAGTGACGTGTTCTTTCTCCGTTAACCCATGAAACCATCCCTATGAAATCCTAACATCCCTAAACCGTTAACCTCTGTCTCTCACCTTCTCTTTTAAGCTGATAACTTGGTAGATGGAAGAATGAAACAGGAAAAAAAACCAAAGAAAACCCACGAAAAAAGAGGGAAGAAGAAGAAGAAGAGGAAGGAACATGATCAGCAACCCAAGTCCAAAATCAACTAAGATATAACACAATCCCCATGATTATCTGAAACTTCTTGATTTAGAAGAGTAAAATTATTATAGAGATCTTAGTAAATCAAATCAAAATAAAATGAGTGAGGAAGTTAACTAGTAATTGATATGAAGTCAAAAATCTAGGGTATGCAAAGGATTTTATTTTGTGTTTAAGATGCATGAAACAAACTGGAAAAAAGAGAAAGAAAGAGAAAATAAACTAACCCTAGATTTGACAAGGACCTCGTCGTCGGCCGCTCTTGGTCGCCGGCTGTTTCCTCGTCGCCGTCCTGCAGCCATGGAGAGAGCGAGAGAGAGAGAGAGAGGGGCGAAAGAGAGAGAGAGAGAGAGAGAGAGAGAGAGAGAGAGAGAGAGAGAGAGAGAGAGGAAGAGAGATGCCTCAACCGGCCTCAACCGGGAAAAAAAAACAGGGGAGAAAAGAGGAACGGAAAAAAAGAAAAAAAAAGAGGAAACGAAGAAGAGAGGAGGAAGATGATCTGTTGTAATAATATAAGAGAGGAAAATTTTCATTAAGCCCCTGAACCATGTGAGAATTTTGAACAAACCTTAGTAATATGAGTTATGTTTGAAAAAGGATTGGAAAATCTCTGTTAGGCCCCTGTCATTTACTCTCCTTGTAAACAAGTCCAATCTGAAGAATAAAAGTTAACTTTTAGACTTGATAAATTCCCTATAACCCCTGTATTATTATAAATTATTAGGAAGTCAGAAGCTAGTATATGAGAGTTATAAAATTTTGATAAATTGTTAAAGTTAATAATAAGCTCATATATACTGCAGAAATTAATTATCATTGATTATATCTGAATTTATTAGGCTCTAGATTTTGAATTGATTTACCTATAATATATTTTTGTCTTGAATTAGTAATTAGTCTTATATCTTATATTATAGGACCTGGTTGATATTCAGGAGGATAATATTTTGGGGAAGTCGTGTTCGCTTAAGGTGAGTTCATTTCTCACTAGTATTTTATAATATGAAATTACATGAGTATTATATTTGATTTATCTTGTGATCGAAAAATAAATAATATGTTATTTTCATGTATATAAAGATTTGACCTATTTCTGTTGTGGTCTATCCTATAATACGATGTTAGCCTCGTATAATATATGAAAAGCAAATTTGATTTTTATGTAAAATATGAAAAATGAATTTGGCTCTCATGTAAATTTCAAATAATTGTGAATATTGTTTTATCTGAGATTTTTGATGAAGTATTTGGAACGTATTTCAACAGTTTAACGGATTCAAAGATTTTTCGTGACTTAGTATCTAATAAAAGAAAAAAAGTAAATATCCGTAAACTGTTTTAATTGAAATAAGGAGCTTTACCTTGTCAACTTCATTTGAAAATATCTGTAAATTCTGATATGCAAAGTATTACTCATTTGACATGTGATCTCGATGTTTTCAAACCCTCAAATAGTCCACTATGGATTGTTTCTGCCTGTCATATGGTGAATGCACCCAAACCCTCAAATAGTCCACTATGGATTGTTTCTGCCTGTCATATGGTGAATGCACCTTTATTTGGCCCCTCTGTATTGGCCCTCTGTATTGGCCCTTCTGTATTGGCCCTTCTGAAATTTGTTCTGGCCCCTCTGTATTGGCCAGTAACCTATGACAGTGTTAGGTGCATTCGGTTCCCGGGAATTATCTGTTATGTGATGCGGTTACACATTCCCTTGCTACTGGGCTATAATTCGTAGCCTTAGTGTGACCTATTGGGTGATTTTTACATTCATGAACAACTCATCGAGAATTTAGATTCTGATAATGGACTGTGAAATTTAGAAACCTATAATTCTCTGGTTTTGTACAAATTAGTAGTTCTTTTCCTTCTTAATATTTACTTTGATTCAAAAAGGGTTTGATTTCAAGCAACTTCACAGTATATTCAGTTGCACATAAGAAAGAAAATATAATTGTTGCATTCTTTCTTGAAAACGATAAACTTCACAGTATATTCAGTTGCACATAAGAAAGAAAATATAATTGTTGCATTCTTTCTTGAAAACGATAATATTATGATATTTGGATCGTATTTTGCTAAAAGAAAATATAATTGTTGCATTCTTTCTTGAAAACGATAATATTATGATATTTGGATCGTATTTTGCTATCTTTGAATTTCTCATGCAAAACTTATGATTTGTTATTTCTGAGAATTATGCTTATTACTATTTTGTTAGGTTTCTAGGAATTCTAGTGGGAAATGTTCTCATTGAGCACTAGCTCACCCCATTGTTTTTAAAATTTTTCAGATCCGACGTAGATTCGTACTAGCTGAACTTTTGGTTAGGGCTTTTGGCTGGGAGGCGCTATATGGAGAGCCTCTTCTTTTTATGTCACTTTTTGTACAATTTGTTTTGTTTTGTAAAAATACTTATAACAGTGAGCTTGTAGGCTGTAAGTACCGATCATATATATAGTTGCTCTGAATTCTATCATCAGCAGGTTTATGAATATTTTGTTATAAACTATGTGATATGAATTGCTAGGCTTGACTCGTGCATAAGAATTGTCTCGTGCACGGGTCGCTGCTGTCGCGCACCCCGTATTTATAAAATTTCCGTTGTAGTTTCGGGGCGTGACAAGTAAAATTTGCAATAAATTCAAATAATAGGACTAAAATGCGGACAATAACAATGAAAGAAAGGAACAATTTTACAAATAACAATAATAGGACTAAAATGCGGACAATAACAATGAAAGAAAGGAACAATTTTACAAATAACTATTAATAAATTGCATAGGAATTCAATGCGGACAATAACAATGAAAGAAAGGAACAATTTTACAAATAACTATTAATAAATTGCATAGGAATTCTAACTTAAAAGAGAATTTGAAAATATAAATACTTACTTTTTTTGTAGAACAACAAGAAAAATAAGAGATGAAGAAATAGATAATAGCAAGACCAATTTAAGCTACTTTACTTTTTCAAAACAATCCTCCCTCGAGATACAAATTAAATTGACCTCTTGAATAGTAATTGGCTGTAAAATTTTACCATTCATAAATTTTAAAAAGGGATATTAGGCTAATTTAGTAATATATTAAAATTTATATTCTTAAACTAGGAAATTTAGAGTTGACCTTCTATTCTTTAGAACAAGAATGTATAAGTATCAGATGACAATATTTTTAAGTGTATAATAATCAAATCAAATATATTAAAACTTAGATAAACACAGGTTTAAAATACAATGATAAAAAAAATAGGTTTTATATAAAACCCAAACCTTTACCCTTTTCTACTCGTCGTCGTCCCCAGGGCTCTTAAATCTCCTCCTCCGTCTAAACACTGGAACCCGATTTCTAGCTTTGTTTTTATTCCCCCTCCTCCCAAGATGGCACGGTTTCACGTCGACGGCAAGGCAATCCAAGGCATGGACTTGTTCAAGAGGCGGCACTGGCCGTGGCGACTGGACACGTGTCCTCGCGCTCTTCACAGTCCTTCGTGGATCTTAGCTACTTCGTCCAGTTCAGCAAGGTAAAATTTCACTCTCGCTGTGGTTTTGGTTCGTTGAGATCAAAAGGGTGATAAGTTGTTGAGCGTTTTGCATAGCATGTGCAGATTTCTTTCGGACTAGGTTTTAATGTGTAATTTTCAGTGTTATGTTTTTTTTTTAATTTGAATGGTGCAAATTTAGATTTGTATTTTATTTACTTTTCCAGAGGAAAAAATTGTTGGACATCAGTGTTTGTTTATGTTAACTTGCGCTTAATGTTGGACCCAAGTGAGATTGAATAACAGTCTATGTACATTCTTTAAGAGCAAGCATGTGAGGTTTCTTTGAGTGCGGGTGATGTTTTAAACTCTGTTATGGTGATGTGAGCAAGGTACGAGTATCCGACAAAGTGCTGGTAGGTCATATTCTTCGAGAATCAACCCAAAAAGAGCAAGAAAATGAGATTCATGAATATTAGCAGTCGCAAATTGAAGAACAGAAGAAGAAAGTTTTTTACTTTCCAAATTTTAGTTTTTGTGTTTAGAACAAATGAAGATATGAATTAAGGATTTTGTTGTAAATGGGTTTCTTGAGTTAAATAACTGGCGGAGAAAGAAAGGGATTTGGGACGGAAATCCTTTCCGATATAGGGGTATAAGAATTCAACAACAATAATTGTCACATGATACTTTTTTAAACAGAATCTTCGACAGTCATGTAACAGAAGGTACTAAAGTTAAAAGTTGGTTGAAAACATTACGGCACCCTTTGGTGAGTTTAATTCAGGGCCTCAAAATTGAAAATTGGTGAAACTTTAGGGTAGTCAAGTGTAATTAACCCTTTCATGTTCTAAAATGGTTTTAAGATAAGATAGAGTCTAGCGACTAGTAAATATCTCATGTTGGATACAAATATAACACTCAATAGTGTTTTACATTTTCTTACGTCAAGAAATGTAACACAAGATTCAACAGAATCACTGTTTTAATTAGACTGAGAATGAACTGTATAAATATGCACGGAAAGGAAAAAAGACTAGCGTTTTAAGTGTGCCCGGTATTAGGAGAGTTGTATAATGATATCATTGTAGAGTTCTATGCTTGTGGTTTTACCCTATTGTTAAAAGTAGTTGTATTGAATATTTCTATTAGATTGTTAATTATTATAAGAATATATAGATGATCACACGTTTATTACTTCTCATAACAACAATAAACTTAACACTGCAATGAAATTGAGACAATACTAATGCTCAAACAAAGTAAGATGTGAAAGAGAAATGTGAGTAGGGTATTATCTCGATGATAGTTGAAATGCTTGTACATGTGTGAACAAAGTAAGATGTGAAAGAGAAATGTGAGTAGGGTATTAACTCGCAGTTAAAATGTTTGTACATTTGTGAATTTATGCTATGGCATTGCGTAAAGAAGTTAAGACAGCTGAAGGAATTGGAAAATTCTTCAAGCCACAATACATCACATTTTTTTGGAGAAGCCAAGGTCTTAACATTTATTTTTTGAAAATTCAAATTTATGGAAAATTGATCTAGAAATTCTTGTTTTATAGTCTATTTGGACTAACCCTGGTTCCATAAAAGGTCAACCACCTAGTCAGAAGGACTTCATCTTATTAACGATGGCGCTAGAAGCCTGTTTGAGGTGGAGCCTTGAACAAAATGTTTTCATTGTTATAAAAATGAATACCAAAGTAAACAAACATCTGGAAAAAAATCTAAAAATAAATCAAAAAACATTTGGAAAAGTATGACTTGTTTAAATATACAAAAGGATGATGAACGAGGTCACTTAGTCTTTAACCAAACTTGCGCAAGTAAACCGTACAGGATAGTATTTGAATTGAGTAAGTTCATCCATATAAGAAACCTAGTGGATTTTCAGTTGTGTATGCGAAGGTCTGTTAACATATAATTGGTTACAGTCCCCTGTGCAACCATTACAAGTGACTTACTGTAAGTGATTCCCACTCTCTACTCTGACCCTAACCCTAAATATCAACATCAAGTTTTGTTTAGAGACGTAATTAAAGCTTAACATATTAAGGTTGCATGAAATGATTGAAATTTGGTAATCAACCTGGTGCCCTTTGGAATAAATTCAATATCTTAACTTTGAGTGCACGGGAGCCAAACTGATATTACTCTTCCTATCTTTTTTCAGATCGGAAAATAAATAATTTAAAGAATCAAGTTTCCAATTATACCTATTTTGTCTTTGACCCAACTAAAGTCTTACTTGCATATAACTTTTGAATATGATGAAATTCTATTTGATTAAAATAGAAAATATACTTACACTCTAAAACAATCTTTTAAAATGGGCTTCCTACATTATATTCATAAATATGAACTAGAAAACTCTGAGGCTGCGTTTGGGAACTAAGATTTGGATTTGGGATATTGATTTAAAATCAAAGGATTTTAAATCTAGGATTTGAAATCCATGATTTGATAGAATCTTTTGTTTGGATGACTTTACAAAATGTAAGGATTTGAAATTAAAGATTTGAAATATAATGTTTGGATACACTTTATTATAAATGAACTTGGATTTCAGCGATAAGGAAGATCATTCTGTGAACAATTTATGACATATACATATAGTTAACATATATGAGTACCATGCTACTTAGCCCAAGCCTTTTTAAAAGGAAGAAAGACCTGTCATGCACAAATAAAACTTTGAGAAGTAACTCAAAACCAAATTGATCACCTCGATAGCAATTATAAATACTCATGCGAACATCTCATCCTTCATGAATCGATACGAGAGAATACAAACAATAATAATAATGTCCAAAATATTCATTATAATAGCATTTTTTTATGGTTTTATCCACTACCACATTGACCTTCAATCTCCAAAATAACAATACTACTACTTTAAAAATTAGTCATGATAAAAGACTTGACGACACAAAAGAGTATAGCGAACATTCCACATAAGAAGCTCTAGACTACGCAATATGTCTTCATTTAAAACACAACGTACTACAGGTAGTAGATAACCATGATTTTCTACAACAAGCTAAATTAACACAACATAAACTACTAAAAGAAACCATAACAAAAAATTGTCTATTTATCCTTCAAAGTCTTCTCCTCCTTTTTCTCCTATGCTTCCAACTCATGTCTCGGAGAACTTATTGGATCCTACATTAAAAAATTTGGCATCAATTAGTTCATGAAACAAAATACGCTCTAAAACAGAAATAATATCTACTACAAAAGCAAATCACAACTATAAGTGTGCATATCACGATTAGCTAAAGCTGAATCCATATCACGATTCCAAACAACATGTGATCTCAAGTGAGATGCAATTTGTTTCCCATTCTTTGTCATCCTAATACATACCAAAGTGAATGACACAGAATGAGTAATAAAGAATTAGCACATCATGCACGAAGGATTACTTAGAAACAACTGTCTAGTTCTTAGGATCTTCATGCATGACAAACTAATAATAGTGTCAGAAACAAGCTACTAAAACATATATTGGTTTGGTTCTTTGCTCTCCAGTGGCTTTTCAAGGTTAAGTTGATGCAATACAACATTAGATGCAAATGAATGGCGAAAGAGCATGTGACCTACACATATAATTGGATCATAGCTATTAACTATAGCATCAGATGTAAACGTGATTCTTGGAGAGGAAAAATCACTGTACTATAAAAGAATCTGATAGTCTCAGTCAAGCAATAACAAAGTTCAAGAATTTTATTCAATTATCAGATGCAGAAAGAGAACTAACTGAGGAACCTGCATGACTGCATGCCCAAAGGTAACTTTTCCCCCTGAAACTAAACATATGAAACTGAACAGTGAATAACTAGCTTTGGTCCAGTCTGTATTTTAAGGTAGTTGAATTCAGAAATTTGACATTCTGATGATCATTTCTAACTAAAGCAATGATAAAGTATGTTGCAGAAAAAATAAAGCAATAGTATAGGGTCAGCAGTGAAGATACAGTGGTACCTTCTGCTTGTTTACTCATAAACAGGAAGCGGACTCTGTGAAGTAAATTTCCAAATAGTTTTCGAAGTACTTGGTTAGATATCAAATGCCATCTATTCTATGAAAGGATAAAATCTCAAAAGCGTTTAACAATTACATCCATAAATTATAAAATTACAAGGTTCTAATCCATATATCAAAATATAAAAGACCCAGAGGACTATAAAGACAAACCTCCCAAGGAATACATTTGTTACGGAAGTGAAAATAATCATATAAGAAGAAAAATATATGAACCTTAAAAAAAAAAAGAAGCTCGAGTTGGGGGGTCCTCCATATCTTTGGTGCTGAGAAAAAATGTGACATAATGGGTTGAGGTACACAGCTTTGAAGTAGTTTGATATCAAACAATTTTCATTAACATAATATAGAAAAGTAGGAACTAGTGAGAACAGTTTTTATATATTGACTATCACATAATTATGCACTTGCAAGTGTAGATGCAGTGAACATCTATGATGTGTAGTGCGCTTCCTTCAACCAAAACTGATGTGTCTACATTTCCATAGTGCGCTTCCTTCAACCAAAACTGATGTGTCTACATTTCCATGCACAACAAAGTTGTCCATTCTAGTCCTGTTCTTACGAATATTGCAAACATTTATAAACTTTTTTTGATGGAACATGTCTTTGTTCACTTAAAAAATATGTAAATTGATGAGCTACCAGTTTGATATTAGCTGACCATGTATTTATGGTAAAGTCTTAGATGCATATATATATACCTGCTCCTTGTAATTTAGTATGGGCTACCCCTAGAATCTTGATATTAGTAAAAATCAGAGAAAATTATGATGCGTATATTCCATTAATATGACTAGCTACTTCACTGATTTCATGTCCCAAAAAGAAAAGAGCTGGCGTACACCTGTAATCAACCTTCATTCTTCATTGCATTCTTGTACTTGATAACAACTGAAGATTGCCAATGTGTCACAAAAATAAAGTCAAATCCTTTGAAGGACCTTCATAAAAGCAGAGAGAAACTAGTGATGGTGGGTATGGTGA